TTAGAAAGTGCGCGAGCACGAACACCTTCTTTTCAGCTTTCACCTTGCCGTCCTCCACATACGCGGTGCCCTCCGTAATGAACCGGTGGAAAGCACGGGAATCTACCGTTCCATCATACACAGTGGGTGGGATAGGTTTCAAGGTAGTCTTAGTCCTTTTTGATTTCTTGGACTTACTTCGTTTCTTAGAAGTCTTTCTCTTCCTGGGTGGATGGTCATCTTCACTCGAGGAGCTCGTACTCTCCGATGGCTCTGACTCACTCGACGACAATGAGGATGACGACGACGAGTCGTCTGGATCGTCTGGATCGATCCTTCCCAGCGCCTTCCCGATGTAGGACTCAGGTGCCACCTGGTGCACTGGCTCCATCGTTTGAGGGGTGCGGTTTCTTACCCTGGGTTCTTTCGAGGGTTGCACTACCCTATTGATCATTCTGCGCACAGGATCAGCCCCTCTTCCCTCGATAGGTTCAGTACGTTCAACCCCCTTCTGGGGTTTAAAATTCTTGTTTCTACTAACCGCTTTGAGTTTTATCTCATACTCCTTCCTCAGATGGTCTTCGGCAGCTCGTACTGCCGCTTCGACCATTCGTTGAAGGTCGCTTGGCTCGTTGCCCCCTTCGTTAAGTCGAGACGACTCTGGTCTGGAGGATACTCCCTCATAGTCATTGGGTATGTCCCCTCCTGCCGATTTCATTGCTTTATACGAAGCTAACGCAGCCCTCTGAGCCTCTAGCTCGTACTCTGCATCATTGAGGTCTAACCCTCCCCAATTCCGGGGGTCTGGACCTTTCCCTTTCGATGGTCCCTCCTCCTGGGATTCATTATCCCATGTCACTCTCGTGACATGCCTATGACGGATAGAATCATCTCGTCGAGCCAGTTGGTCTCGATCCGCTTCGGTGAGTTGCTCTTCTGCTCTCCCGACCGTTTTCCTTTGTTCACTGGTCAACGCCTTGGGCCTCATGGCCCGTTCCTTAGTGCGCTTTCGTGAGTCGCGATTCCTTTTATTCGCGACTGTTATCCAAGGTGGGTTGTTTTCCTCGCCGGACTCACTAGTGGACTCCTCCTGCTCACTCGCTGTTTCATAGACGGCGATTGATTTCTCAAAAGGTAACTGTACACTAGTATTCTCAGGGGTATCTACAGTGCTAACTGCTGATAGTTCTATCTCCCTGCCAGTCCGAAGATCTGGCGAGGGGCTTCTCGTTCTGACCACATCGCTGTATAGGCGCGTGGATTCAGGAACGGTGGTATCATCACTGGGTGCCTCACTGGGCGCCTCAATAGGGGTTGGTGGTGACTGCTCGACAAGGGACTTCGTCTCATCGACGTTGGTCCCATTTGTCGGTCGCCTCGCGCTGTCTAATAATTTAGCAACAAATTTATTAAAATCAGGACGTACCTCAGTGTTTTTTACTGGGGACGCGTCTGAATTAGCCCTCTGTCGGGCAGATCGAAGGTTGTAACGGGTTCGGGTAGTAGTTGACATTTTCACTGATCGATGAACGTGGTGGGCCGGACCCGTCGTCGAAGTGATGTCGAGTAGAAAGTTTAATAGAGATAAGCTAGTAAAATAGACTTGATTGAAGGCTAAAAAATATGTGACGCTTGCTCGAAGGGTAATGCTTGAGTAATCGGCACAAGGTAAGAAGAGTCTTCCCACAACGCAATAGCCAGGTAAAAGTCTGGGTTGATTGGAAAAGAACTAGGGCTTCAGTACAAGGGTATACTACTTAAGTAGGTATTTAGTATGAAGCCCGTGATAAACAAATCATATGTAAGAAACAACAATCACAAGTCAAAATGGTATACGCGCTTCTCCGCTGTCATAAGCGCTCATCCGCTGTTCAGCTGATTTCGTCATCGTTATTTGTCAGCTTCGCCACATGCCGATTTCACTGTTGTTTGCATCCAAGACCTCCACGTACCACACCTGTTGTCATTTCCATTCACGTGTGTGTGCGTGATTTGAACTTTGAAGAAGCTTGGCAGAGTTCTGCGTCCTGCAACAGTGTCGAAATCAGGTCCGTGTGACAGGCTGCAAATCTGTGGGAGAGAAATATATGTAATCGTGTTTGCGCTTATCTAGAAGGCGCAACATTGAAAAAAAAACCACAGATTTTTGTGAGTAAGTAGTGCTATGGACTTCTAGTTACAAGTCGTACTAATTTTCGACGTTGTCCGTGTCGTGGTTGTGCAGTGAGGTGCGAGTGCAAATTGATTTGCACTACCGGGTCATCGATAGCGTGACAGGTCAGTGTATCTCACTTATCGGTGAGTGTTGTCAGGTGGTGGTTTACTTATCAGGGCCTCAGTTCTATCAGTGTTCTATTATCGTATGGCTTACTCTGTAAGTGCTCGATGTTGTAGATAACACAAAATGGGTTTGGAGTTTCTTCCGCGCCCCATCGTTTCTTCTTTTCATCCCCTGGGTGCGCGCGACATGGAACCACCGCAGCACGCAATTGCAATTGCAGACGAGGCCCTGCTCGCTGAGCTCGGGTACAAACAAGAGTTTAAGCGTGCATTCACACCCTTAGAGGTATTATCAGCGCTGCTATGTTTAGGGATGGGAGAACTGATGGCGAAGACGACCACAGGTCTTTGGTATAGCTTTCAGCATCATTGGCTTACTTCCCTCAATTGCGTACATTGTACTTCTCTTCGCCTTCCGATGGTGAAATTGATCTCTCTGTTCTACACAGTTCTGTTCTGTTTTACGCTGTGCCTAATGGAGGACCAGTTTCAATGGTGTGGGGTGTACGTGCTTGCTTCGGGTATCTCCATGCGCGAATTTTGCTGATGGATGTCATGCTTGTTTGTCGACATCCCATATCCATTTTGCCTATAGTGGGCAGTTGCGAGTTTGTTTATTCTCTGTGTAGGGATGTCAATGGCAGAATTGGGTTCTGCAGCGCCAACATCCGGAGGCGTGAGTCTGTTTTGTCTTCGTTGACGTAGTATTCTCGAGTGACATGGATGGACTACAGCTATACTTCTGGACACATTCCTTGTCATCTCCGTGGTGTAGAAACTTGCTTGCCTGGATTGTTGGCTGTAAGACTTTATGGTGATTTTAACGAGCAGAAGTATAATGACCTGATAACAGACTCAAACACCGTTGGGACCATAGCATCTGTCGGTAAGACGCTCATTTTCGTCTTATATTTTTCTTAGAATGACATTCTGCATAGCATCTATCGATTGGGGATGTGCAGTGCAAGTCATGGCTGCAGTATCCATCGGCTCAGGCCAAACTTTCACCGCAACGAGTGCGCAAACTTTGTGCGTAATTCAAGACATCGATCCAGTCAATCAACCTGCTCATTATGTCGAATATCTAGCGCAGTCTATGTTGCAATAGTCCTGTCACACGCAGTGATATGCTGCATGGGAACTGCTGTTCTCGCAAGACTGCAAACAATTTATGTTGTACTTAACATCTGGTTTGTGCTGAAGTCGTACTGGCGCACTCGAAATGCTGAATTACTCTGGGTAGTTTATGTCTCGCCGTTATCATTGGTCTTCTTGCCACCTCAAAGGCGAACATGAACAGCGCAAGCTATGCGCTTGGTAATTTCACAAATTGTCAGTGAACACATTCCGCTGGTGAACCTGACTGATCCCATAATGATATCTATAGTGAATGGTTGGTCGGATGGCTACGCATTCATTTTAAGCTTCCTTGCGCCGTCGTGGACCATTTGTATGTTCTCACAGATTGCTACACGCGTCATTGATGTTGATGTCAATTTCAAGCCTCCTTTGACTCGAGTGTGCATATTAGCGAGGAATCGTCCAATGCTGCTACTGCTGTTCCATGGGCCATCGTAAGCCTCGAGTTCCGCATTTGTCCAAAATACTGAGTGCATTCCAGGTCAGCGCGATCGGGATTGCAGCAATCCTTGGTTGGGGTACGTATTTAGTCACGAAAGATTCTCAGACCCTGCTTACCATCTCGCAGCAATCAACGTCTCTCTCACATTCTGCATGAGCACCGACCTGAACTTCCTACTTGGTAGCCCGATTGGACAACCCATGGCTCAAATTTTCTTCAACAGCTTCGGCCAGAATGGAACACTTGCATTATGGTCCTTCGTTGTGCTTGTTCAGTAAGTGGATAGTTGTGTCATTTGAGCTACAATTGACTGGGTGCAGGTATATGATGGGCTCGAGCATGGTCCTTGCTTCATCCCGCCAAACATTCGCATTTGCCCGTGACGGCGCACTACCGTTCTCATCCTACCTCTATCGCATGAATAGATTCACCAAGACGCCCGTCAACACCGTTTGGTTCGTCGCAGCCTTTTCCATCCTCCTCGGCACATTGTCGTTCGCGGGCCCACAAGCTATCAACGCTGTCTTCTCTCTCTCCGTGACGGCGTTATACATCGCATATGCGATCCCAATCATTGCACGCTTCGCGTTCAAGAACAACTTCAAGCCTGGTCCATTCAATTTAGGCATCTTTGTAAGTCAGACGGTTTGGTACTTTCGGATGCCTGTTGACCATTGAACTGTGGTTTGAAGAGCCTTCCAGTTGCTGTCATTTCGGTGTCGTACATGTTCATTATGGACATCGTGTTTTTCTTCCCGACGACGCCACAAACCGACGTTGCGAACATGAACTACACCGTGGTCGTGCTAGGTGGTATACTCTTTTTGTCTATTATGTGGTACTATTGCCCTGTGTATGGCGGCGTGCATTGGTTCACGGGTCCAGTGTCAAACCTTGAGAAGGTGAGTGAGGAGAGTACGTCGAGTATTCGTGGGTCGGTGGAGAAGAATGTGTGTGTGGATATCAGGGAGTCTGTTGGAGCTTGATGATTCCGATATTGGGTCCATAGTAAATTTAAATCGGTTACCCGTACACTGCATGCTATTCGTCATTCGTCCGGTTAAGCCGTACAAGAAGGAATGTGGAATTGCGTTTGTGTTACAAACCGATCGAGCAACTCAAGGAGATTACACCTTTAAGTTATATCAGTCCTCCAGGTATATCATACATGTGTTGTGACAAGATCTAGTAGTCTACTGGTAAAAAATACTTCGTCCATCAAGCTTAGTGATAGGCTCATTAGCATTGTTTGGTACTCCCGTCTTCTGAGAGTCTTTCCTCGATCGGATATTAGCCGTGCGATGCTTCAGAGAGGGAAGTACCCACCACATTACATCTGGGCTTACTGTGCCATGAACGTTGAGAGAGAGATATCTACTCCATCGATGCCACGAGCGGTACGATCTAATCTCCAAAAGTCCCTGTGCATTCGCGTGACCAAGAGAGACAGAACAACGACCTGAGTCCTGTTGCCGAATAAGTAACCATCACCTCCTCCAAAGTGAAAATGAACAAACTCAGCAATCACGTGTACCACCGGAAACTACATCTCACGTTAATGGGGCGGCTTTGATTGTGCACAGAGAGTGGCTTACCGAGAGGAAGATTGTGGCGAGGACGACACTGAGAGAAAAGGCTGTACCGTTTAGCAAGTAAACAATGGATATTCGAGAATGAGTTGAGCACGAACCAAAGCTGCAGCCGAAGTATAGTAGATTATGATAAATGAGACCACGCATAAGTCGGTTTTCGATCCTCCAGCCACCATGACCCTTGGAGGCGCGATACACCACACACCCCAATGTGCCTGAAAGTGCGTGAATGCAAATGCATACGGTTAGTTCGAGCTCATGTTCGGGTGGTAGTTCCTAATACTAACCTGACTCTGCAACAATTGCCAAACAGTACACGGCAACCACTGAAGACCTTCCCCTTGCATCCACATATCTGATACCCCCATGGATCGAGCATTCTCCTTATATGAAGAAATTAGACGTTGAGAGCTGAGCAGGAAAAGACTCCAAGAGATTCACACACCTGCTGACACAATAAATTCATAAAAGCAGACGAGGATTGGCACCAAATAGGCCTGCAAAGGATGAGTCAGACATCGATTGTATAGAGTTGGTTGCAGCATTGGTCTCACAATCATTTTGAAGAATTTGAACACCAAGAACCTTTTATCACGCTCCCATACTGCAACCGTTCTGAGTATGAAGATGCCTGGTCCATCAGGGGGTGTAGATGTTAGAGGACAGGATCAATGATAGCTAGTTCGATTGGTAAACCTACACTCAGCGGAAAACATCGACAGAAAACCTGCACCTAATGAAGTGTTTGACCCAGAGTAGGTATGTATCAGGGTAAATCATCATTAGACTCACAAATATTTAGCATATATAAGAAGAGACAAAGCTATGATGGGGGAATGAGTTGAATTCACATATTTGCAACGTTTAACCATACAGTGGATGAGCCACGAGGCAGGAGGGTCACTGAAGAACATCATGAACGCATTACATCCTGGGGGCAGCATGGAGGTGAAAATCCGATACTCACCAAGCATATTCAGTAATATGAAAACAGATGGCGAGAACTTGCAGACGAGATAAAACACTGTGCCGAGCCCTCGCCGAGACTTGACAATAAAAGTGATCTGCACCAACTACAGTTCAGAGTCACCTATAGGACGTTCAAGTAAATTTCCACTTGCCGAGTCAGCCATGCAAAGTATGTAGTCGTATACCTGAATGTCACGATTTAAGTGAAATCATGAGTCATTGCAAGATAACGTCAATAGCTCACCCAAAGTGATGCCAATGCAACTGTCGAGATGCGAAATACAGATCAACGAAAGTAGCTGATTTAATGGACTACAACCGCACCATAACAGTACTTCGACGATACATCAGCGATCCAGGATTGACTCGACAACTGAAGTTGTACTCACGCTTGACCACAAGAGCACGTTAGCTTGTGACCCTTGAGAAGTATTCATGCTAGTGAATGCGGCGATAAGTTGCTCTGCTCAAGGGTCATTTATAAGATATCCAATCCAGGCAATGCCGAATCCCGTGGACGTCGGCCAAAAAGTAATCCGGGAGCTGGTGATCCCGTCTTAATGAAAACTATAGCATGGAACGTAGTTTTAGTAGTGCGGTCAGGACAACTGCAGCTCCGGTTACATCAGAACATATAACGTATACCATCATATTACACTGTAAAAAACGGCAGCTCGTACACGCAACACCCACAAAAGAGCAATGCCAGGAGCGATGCAGGATTCTTGCGAACATAAGGCTCTAATCATAGGGCGCACAGCCTGAATCCACGCGGGCCAGACAATCCTATTGCAGCTGCAGATGCGAATATATGGAGTGACAAGTGATTGACGCAGAGGAAAGCGCGAAACCCAAGAGCATGTTGGTGAAGAGCCATCTTGAGCCAGAGGGAACTGGCGAACACATACATGCACAAAATGGGCTGTCATCCACACGCGTGTCTGTTAGCGTGAATCTCGAGGCCTCCAAAATGGCCACAGGGCTCGCTGTGAAGCGAATTACATTTTCAAGATATAGGGTAGACCGACAGGGTGTCTGAGAATCTATTCACAGCACTACCACAGGTGAGGGTAGAACATGATGCAGCACGGCACCAACAGAGGCACAACTAAAGTGTTTCGTCTCCACAGTACTGTTAGGTTCAAAACGCACCTTTGTACACAGTGTCAATTCTCTCAACTCCGAGCCAAACATCCACAGTCTCCTCAATCAATCCGTCCGTTCTTCTGTGGAGCCGAGGTCTTCGGAGTGGTATACGTACCTGGCACTGCAGTGAGTGACATCATGCTCTGAGCGAAATGGCTGAAGTACGACAAAAATCAGACAACCATTTATTGACCAAAATCTGGGATGGTGAGGCTCTGGGACGTCGAGACGGGGAAGGTCATCCTGAATGACACTAGTATTAGAGTATAGCCTGTCAAGAGCAGGAAACCCAGACGGAGCGGCTTGTTACCTAGTAGTAGTAGTTACCAGCTCGGCTGTAACCGGTTAACCTGCGAGCGAGTGCATCTTGACTCGATGTTGTAAGGATCCATTACGAACCTTCCCGTTCTATTTCGTTACCTTGTGATCAAACTTCACGATACCCATGTTTCACCGAGTATTTTCGCCTCGCCATATGCTCCTCACGCCGATTCTGGGCTCGTCAACCGTTCGCAAAACGTAATATATACAGCCCATGTACATTCATACAGCCAGCAGAATCTTATACGCTGATTCCTGGCTCCGGGCACGACCGAACGCCTCAAAGAAAGTCTCCTTCTCTAAACGTCTCTCATCCTTGACTTTGTGTTGTAGAAAATACACGTCTCATATCTACCTCGAATTTGAAACTTTCGTATGAGTCGACCCAACCTCTTCCGCTGAGTTTGTTCTCACCCGAACGCTGCTAATGGACAGTTGCTGGCCGCAGGTTGCGATGACTCAAATGTGTACCTGCGGGAATCACTAATATGGGGCTGTTTTGTGGTTCTTCAACGGCTTCTGCGCATTGTCCTAACTCCTTCTGTGAGTCTGCATCAATGATTCGTTTCAGAAGTGGGCCAGTGGCAGTGACTGACCATATCACACACACAGGACCAGAAACTCAACACATTCCTCGGCTTTTAATTACCCAAAGATGATTCTGGACGAACTCTGACATCCATATCACATGGAAGGAACCTTACCCGATGCTTAACGATGCTCGTAACGTCCCCAGCAATTTAAGTTGTGATAACCATGATATACTTACGGCAGCCACTTAACGTCCTCGTTGCTCGAGTATACCGAAGCCTTGACTCGTTACGGCTCAGATAGGATTGGCGCAGAAATTTGGTCGATTCCGTCACGAGGGCGGGCATGCGCGGTAAACGTGTGGATATCGAGTAGACTTTGGTATTGCGCGGAGTCAGACTAGCAATTAGTACAGCATATGGGGAGTCCTTCGCCAACAGATCCATGGTCATACATTGCTGCAGCAAGACCCACTGTTGCGCAATGTAACGCGGAGTTCAATCTAAGACACTCACGGGCCAGGTGGAGTACAAGAATCTAGATGAAGTTGAGTGTTAATGGGACGTCCTGAGTCGGCGTGCCAAAGTCACGAATCCGAATATCTCGCTGATCTTGTCGCAGAACAGCTGTCAGTCGATTTCCAGGATTCCTGAACGGCGACCTGAACTATATAAGAGCGGTTTCGGGTCTTCTGCATGGCAGACAGTGAGTTCATTTCATTTCCGTGACTTCTCGCATGTTGCACTGTCTGACAGCAGTGAAATGAGGATGAGGCCTGAGGGCAGTGACGTTCAGGCAGTGGCTCGCAATATTGTAAAGGGTGGAACACCCTGGGTTTATTGAACCTCGCATCCTGCTCGTTTCGGCTGCTTCGATTAATGCTGCACCCTAACCATGGGCCTTGGGTGCACAGAGCGCAAATGCTTAACGTATGTGGGATTAGTGCACTACCTTGATTTCATAGGCCAGCGCCACGATAATCTGCATGCTGTCCCTGCAAAGAACGACAGCTGGACATTTTCAAGGTGCGTCTGCTGCTTGGAGTCCATCGCCATTATTCACCAAGTTGCAGGCTTTCCAGAGATCCTACCTAGCCACTAGCTAGAGTCACTGATGTTGTCGGGGACGTTCCATGTGTCTCTGTAGAGTATAATTATGAAATGACAATAGTGGTTCTCAAAGTTGACATCTTAGAAATTTCAAACGCTAAGAACTTTGCGACTTGCCGATAATTGAAGCTCCGATGATGACAAATCAGTCTGATACCTTGTACCGTGACCATCATCATATCTATAACATTTTGCTACTATACCTATGCCTCGGGAATCTGATCGAAAAAAACTACTTCGTACCCTCAAAAAAGCGACCGATGACCTTACGATTGCGCGATACATGGAGCTTATTGAGTTTATTGTTGATGAGCTACTAGAGAAAGACTCTGATCAAGACTCTGATCAGGAATCAGAGATCGACAACGCTGGTACTCGTAGCGGCTCAGATATCAGTATACGGACTGCGTCACCCGCATGGCCAGCCTCTCCGGTGTCCCCTACATCATCCATCATATCTGCCTTGTCAACGAGCTCTCTAACATCACTCGTGACAGCATACTCTGATGTTCTATCGAGCGGCATCCCAGACCTGTGTGATCAGGTCTTCACACAGTTCTTTGATGCGATCGGGGCACTGCACGATGAGGTGGAGAAGTGCCGAGTCCTTGATGTCCGGCTGTCTCTGAGTCGTGCACCCCAACTACACTTGCTGCAAGAGTGGGCACTATTATCACCTGAAAAATTTCGCCGCAAGCTCCGTGTTAATGCGGACGTGTTTGACAGACTTACGGCGTTAATCCAAACACACCCTATCTTCCAAAACAAATCGAACAACCCACAACTTCCCGTCCCGGTCCAACTCGCCATATTTCTCAATGGTGTTGGCCATTATGGCAATGCCGCGACTACCGAAGATATATCTGACTGGGCTGGAGTGTCTGTGGGGACCGTCTACAATTGTTTCAAACGGGTGATGATCGCGATCTTACAATTGCATGACCGGGCCATTCATTTTGATCCGCTCGACCGTGAGGATCAAATTGAGCGAGAGCGGGCAAAAGCTTATGTGGAAAAGAAGACGTGTCGTGAATGGCGTGGTGGTTTTCTTTGCGTAGATGGGACTCCGTCCCCCTTACACGAGAAGCCCGGTTGGCATGGGGAGGGCTTCTTCGACAAGAACTCTGACTACTCTCTAACAGCCCAGGTAAGCATCGGCTCAGTGTGCAGCGCAGTGACTTACAATTGAAAAGGTCATTATATTTCCTCACAATCTCCGTATTGTGGACTACGTCATCGGCGTACCTGGGAGTCTTCATGACTCGAACGTGTTTGCGCGAACGAGGCTCTCCCGGAATCCTGAGTCGTTTTTTGGTGCAGGAGAGTGGTTGTGGGCAGACTCGGCGTATGCTGCACGAACCTGGTGTGTGCCGCCGTATAAACGGCCACCAGGAGGGAGTTTGACGGCGGAACAAAAGAAGTTCAACTATCACCTGTCAACGGTAAGCATTAATAATAATATATTTTCATAGTCCTTACCCAGCGTCTAGGTCCGTGTTCGGTCAGAGCATTTTTTCGGCTCTATCAAGGGCCGGTTCCAATCACTGCGGGAACTTCGCATCCCAATCCAAAGCCAGAAGGACCTCGACTACGCAAATATGTGGATCCGTTCGTGCTTGATTCTGCATAATCTTATTGTCGAAATCGAGGAGGAACTAAACCACGAAGACTCGAACATATCCTTCTATCAGGAAACTCGGAGGTTGAGGCAAGCTGATGGTGACGCAGGAGAGGATGATCAGCAAGAGGGTGATATAGTAGGTGATCAGACTTACATTGGAAGTGCGGGGCAGGATTTTCGCAATGTGTTGAAGAGGCGGTTGCTTTCCTCGTTGTAGTAAGTATTAGAAGAATAAAATGCATGTAAACCTGTAGTGTTAGTTGTGTGTAATCACGCTTGAGATTTTCTCGAGAAAGGACTGGGTTGGCGCGATCGAATACAAATGCATTTCCTGAAAACCTGTTGCGTGATGACATAGTACAGACCTACTTCAAGCTTGATCAAAACCACGCTCCATAGCAATACGACGAATACGAGCCTCCTCCTCTTCACGACGCGCACGAGACAGCTCAATCTCCATTTTTGCAAACTCGATTTGTTGAGTCATCCTCTCCTGCTGGTGGATATGATCTTGTGCAGCAAGACGCATGGCATGTTCCCGCTCGTCACGGGCACTGCGCACCTTGAGATCACGAGCCCAAATGTCGCTCTCCAGTTTCATGCGTTTATAGCGTTCCTGCTCAATACGACCCTCACGTTTGCTATCAAGGTGTGAAATCAGGGATTCTGTCGTCTGAGACATCCTTTCTGCAGCGGCAGAGGTCTGCTCGAGAGCACTGCTGCCAGGGCGCTTGCGTGACGAAGAGGGGGCACGACTGGAGTGAGGTGAAGCACTCCGAGTAGGTGCACGAGACTGTTTTGTAGGAAGAGAAGGCGAACTTTCACGACTTCCTTTAAGTGAGCTGACGCGAAGAGATTGCAGTGCTCGGCTGGCACCACCAGTGTCTGAGTCCTCCGAGTCGATGGGCGTAGACCGACGGCTAGGTGAAGACTCCATGAGATCGGAGAAAAAAGATAGTGAATTGTCGGTGTCATTTTTCTTGGGTGCGGGCGAGTGCTCAGGAGAGTTCAACGATATCACACCACGTGTGTCAGACTCAGAAGTTATGAGGGGAGGGAGTTGGGGTCGTGCGCACCACTGTGGCAATGGAACTAGTGAGAACGAGTTGGGTGTGTCACTAGGACCGCGGTCCGAACGCAACAGCGGTGACGGTGCCGAGGATTGTGATTCCATGTGGGGGGACCGGTCAACCATCATATCATCTGCCCCATCTACAATGTCAGCACCATCCGTAGCACCATCCCCAAGCTCAACTATATCATCGGGATCATCATCCGTGTGCGTGTCGTCGTCACATGTAGCCGGTGGTTGTGATTGCTTGGAAACATTAAAATGTTCCAATGCAGCAGACGCGAAATCTTGCCCTGCATCTGCAGTAGAAAATGCGTGATTGAAAGCTGGGTTCGTCCGCCACCAGCCATGAAGCTCAGGCCACCAGGGAAATTTTTCGAGCTTTGTATCTGACAGACGCAATAAGATATGTGCAGATCAACAACGGCTGAAACTTACTGATCAACGACTTCATCTTTGGATCCTCCTGTAGCTCCGCATATGTCTTTCCGGCTCCTGACTGCTTGAGCTCCTTGTTGAACTCGTTGTATTTTCTCTTGAGCCTGAAACATCTTATCAGTGATTCTAGTGGGGGGATGAATGATACAGGGACTAGATACTTACGTGCCAAAACGGGTTGAAACTGGTTTAATAAAAGCCTTGGGATCCTCCTTGAAAAGTCGTTGCACCTCCGGATCCTCGTCATTTGAAAATACAGCTTGTGCAACCTGTGAATAGAAGATATCTCTCGAAGTTCCACTCTGCTTCTTCTTCCGGCCTTGCTCCTTAGCATCCTTTGCAGAATCCGAGAAAAGCTTGATGCGTGCATCTTCATTTTCCTTGCACCAGGCAAGTAGACGTTCAGTACGAGCACCACGAACCCCCTCCCAGTGAATAGTGCACTTCTTCCCAGTGTCCGTACTGCCAGGTGTGCTGACCTGTACTCCACCGCCTCGACCTCTCTGATTGGAGCTTGACATGGTCCAGGGTGTTTCTGACGACGGCGATTAAGGATCGGGTTGATACTTTGGCAGCGTCGACGCCAGTAACGACAATGTCGAGCACGCAGGCAGGGCAAGGCGGAGTCCGAAACCTGCCGAACCGGCAGCATCCAAATTCGCAAAATTTCGCTGGGAATTTTTTTCTACGTTCGACTTTGAAAACCACTAATGATTTATGAAAAATTCACGCAAGTTGAGAAACACTGCAGCAGAATGATACGCAGTTCTGACCCGACCAATCGGACCAGAAATAGTTGGGAGATACATCAAGCTGCTGTTAGAGACATAGTAGGCTTAACCGCTGTCTCAGCTAAATGACCAGCATGCTTCAAGCATATAAACGCCATACTAGAGAGAAAGTCCCGTAATTGCATGATTGTACAAATTTGATAGTGCCACACCCCTCAAAACTTGAACCGCCCTCGACAGACCATTCTAGAAACCCTCATGTGCCTCCATAATATGACTCCAAGCATCACCTACGTCGTGATTTATTGACTCGCATCAAGGTCGTGCTGAAGACAAATACATCAGCGGGATTGCCAAAATCATGAGAGTTAAAACATACGCAGGCGATGTTCTAAAGCGATTTTAAGAATGGTTTCGAGTAAACCCGAGTAATCCTTAGGTTGTCTGTCCTTCCTCCGGAAACGTCTAAACAATAGCTTTGCTTTCGAATTAGTCGAGTTTCCTTGATTTGCGTGGACGGCAGTGTTCACTGCGTCCCTGACAGCAATTGCATGCGGAGATGCCATATACCGCTCAAGAGCGACATCAACAGAGGGAACAGATTCTTGCTGGTCCTTAGCATGGCGTCGCTGGTCGAAAACGTAGAAAGAGTGTTCGAAAATAATGACAGCAGCTAAATGATTAAAAATGAGCAAGCTCACTGCAATGGGGCCTGAAGAATCACCAGAACCAAGCTGGAAAATTTGCTCGAATGGTGATGCACTGGGGGAAGTCTGGTACATTTGAACATGTGTGTACAGCCTGTGACCAATTGAACGCACCACAGAGAGTATCCTAGACCGCATCTCTGTACATTGATCGTCGTAAAGCTGAAGTGATGATGGAAAGTTGAAAATCGTCACCCTCTGCATCAGGAAAAACCTCCCCTGTGTAATACCTGGAAATTACGCGGAAATTACGCGAAAATTGTGTGAATTGCTATGTTTTATTATGTTTTACCATGTTTTACCATGTTTTATCACAATATCTCACATTACTGACATTTACTTAGTAAACTGCAGTCCCCCGTCGACACCGTCACGGTAAAGTGGAGGAAAACACGAAAAAACACGAAAAAACGCGAAATGTTTGTAGCATCCATACTGTGCCATTCACGACCATTGAATATCACACCGATGTAAACAAAAAAACATTATATTGTTGTCCAGACTCGATATATATATGATATGGTAATGATGGTAGAGTAGCGGTACTAGAAGTAATAGTAGATAGGAAGTAACTGGTGTATTAAATAAACCTAATCAGACTCGCCGAGTCGCCGCCCACAAAAGGAACTTCAACGATGGGTGGCACTGCGTGATCGAGTCACCAGGTGAATAGGTGTCGTACGTGGGCTGTGAAGGTCGTAGGAGTAGCAGCAAGTGGTGGGGCGGTGGGCGGTGCTGGTGTGGGTACAGGTGGTGGAGAAACTGGCCGAGGACTCCTTGTCATAGCGAGCCTGAGTTTCTTGAAGCGCCCCGAGTGCTGCTGAGGTCGTGGTGTGGAAATCTGAGATTGAGGAAGGAAGTACATGCGCCAAGACGACTTGGATCAGCATGGCTCGAGCTCGAAGAAGGATCAAGACACTCACGGCCTGCGAAGAGTGGGCAATGACTTGAGTCAACATGGCCCGAGCTCGAAGGAGAAAGGCCAGGGTGCTCTGGGGGAGGTGCAGGGGTGCTGGGTTTGCGGGCGCTGTTAAGACCGTGTTCAACGGGTCGGACCGGAGGGGCTTAGCTTCAGCTCGTGCGCTGCGCTCTTTACCCGAGTATGTGCCCCTAATTTACAGGGGGTTGGATATCGTCGGCCGAAGGGTATAGACGGGCCGGACGAGAGAGAGAAGACTACCCGAGACTTCGTCCGGGTAGAAACTAACAAGGTACAGACTACCCGAAGGTAGAAGCGGAGGGATTTAGCCTTAGGGATATAATCCCGAGGCTCGGAGGGTCGGACTAGGAAGACAATCCTAAGAGCCGAGGGAACACGAGGAATGAACTGAGTCTAAGATGATATTCGAACTGAGGATATACTACGGATTACAAGGGGTTTATATACTATAAGGTATCCGACGGACGTCCGGCCGAAGCGCAGTCTTCGGATCAGAGGGCTATGTAGAAAATGTACTAACGGATATGAACTGCTGCGGACGATCGAAAATGGAGCCGGAGATTAAATGAAACAGGGGGGACAAGTTAAATGAAAGGAAAATGAATAGACTAACGGACGGATCAGAATGAACCCGGATATTAACTGTCAGAAGGATCCGGGCGTATAGGGGCATCAAGAAGCATATACAAATGGGGACACGGGGAAATGAATTCTAGAATGGAACCGAGAGAACGGACGGACCGGACCGGACGAGAAGCTTCAGGTACGGAATATGACAGTATCCCCCCATTAAGGCCGAGCCCACGAGGCCGAGGCCGGATGTCCGATCCGATGATAAGAGCGCGAGAACGGACCCGGGTTTTATTGAAAATTTGATAAAAGGGTTGAGGGTTTTGATGGGACGCCATTCCCTTTGATTCTTACCACCCACCAACTCCACTACCATGTCCCAGACCCCATCCGACTCTACCCAGGCTACCAATGCCCGGATTGCGGCCATCCGGGCCCGGCTAAACGCAGCGCAGCAAGAGCTGGCCCAGGAGGAAGAAAGAGTACTCGCGGAAATTGAAGCCGAGAGGAAGCGTTTGGAGGAGGAGAAACTGAAGGAGGAGGAGAGGCTGAAGGAGGAGGAGAGATTAAGGGAGGAGCAGAAGAAGAAGGATATAGAGGAGACCCGGAAGAGGCTTGCTGAGAAGTCCGCTTCGTCCGGGCCTGCAGTGAGTAGCGAATTTTCTCGGCCGATGTTTTTGTCTGATGGATATAGGTTTCTGTCGGACCCAAGGACGTCGGACGACCCTGTAAGCCCTGCTCCGATAAGAAGCGGGCCTGCGTTTACTCGGGCGTGTCTGCCACGGGCCGGGTGAGTGGACTTCTTTCGTCCGGATGTGAGTTTTACTGATGGTTTTGAAGCCGGTCAACGCATGTGACCACTGTCGCACTGCGAAGATGAAGTGCCATGGTGGGGCGCCACCCGCCCGGACGGATACTGACAAGGGCAAGGGTAAGAAGCGGCCCCGTACTGCAGGGACTCCGTCTCCTAAGGGTAAGGCGAAGAGGCGTCAGAGGAGTCCGGTTCCTTCGGACGACTCTGTTGAGATCGTCCCCGGCCCCTTACCCAGCATTATTGGCGAGGAGCAGGATTTCTTGGAGTACGATGATCAGGCTTGGGTGGCGGCCGTCAACGACATGGTCGCCGAGTTGGCCCGGACCAACAGTCTTCTCGAGAGGACTGTTGAAGCGGCCGAAAGTAGCACCGGTGCCATCGGCCGGCTCCTGGAGCAACAAAGGGTCTTCCAGGCCCTCTTTCTGACTGAGATGAGGATGTTTTTCCAGAGGGAGAGGGAGTTGGAGAAGGGGCCGGATACTGAGGAAGGGACTGAGGAGGGTGAAGAGGAGGAGTCCGGAGATGGGGGTGAAATGGAGGAGTAGGGTGGTCCGGATGATCCGGATGTCTCTTCCCTATGTACAATGTATCTTTTTGTTTTGTTTTTACTGTACAACAATAGGACCCGGCTTGTCCGGATATGCTGAATGAAAGTCTTGTACAAGTTCGGACGTGTTTCCAAGTTCGGTAGCGAGGATCCACGATGTTTCTTCGTCCGTCCCCTGATAACCGGCCCACCTAACTAAGTAAAGTAGTTGACACGTCCGTCTTCTTCGGTCGATTTTGGTATCAAGGATTTCAGAGATCTCGTACTCCTGTTCCCCGTCTACTGAGACGGGTGGGGGAGGTGGTTGGATTCGGTTAGGGATGGTGTTCGGGGTTGCGGGTTCGAGCTGGGAAACATGGAAGACGGGATGTACGGATCGCATTGCGTCCGGGAGGCGGATTGTGAAGGAATGGGTGCCCGGGCGGGCGATGATATCGAAGGGTCCGAGGTTCTTTTCGGATAGTTTCTTCGACGGACGGGTGGAGCGGAAGTACTTGGCTTTGACGAAGACTTGTTGTCCGACCTGGAGGTCCGGTGCGGGCTTACGTCTAGCGTCGGCCAGGCCTTGATATCGATCCTGCGCATAAGACATCTCATCCCGAAGGAATTGATGGAGCTCATCGAGGTCAATGGCGTATTCTCGGGCCCGGGCGGATGAGAGGTCTCGTTCTGGATGTATGGATATGTTCGGGTGATAACCCTTATTAGCGAAGAAGGGGGAAACACCCGTGGTAGCACTAGGAGCATTGTTGTATGCGAACTCTGCCAAGGGCAAGAGCTCGGACCAGTTGTCTTGCTGGTAATTACAGTAGATCCGGAGGTATTGTTCGAGGGTTTGATTGGCACGCTCGGTCTGACCGTCGCCTTCTGGATGATAACCCGAGGTGAAATGCAGGGTCATGTCCAGTGCTTTCCCGAGGGAGCGGAAGAAGTGAGAGACGAACTCCGTGCCTCGGTCGGAGGTGACATGGGACGGGACTCCGTGCTTGGAGAATACATGTAACAGGAAAAGTCGTGCGAGATCCGGGGAGGTGATTGTATCGAAAGTAGGGATGAATATGGCTTGTTTGGATAAGCGGTCTATGACGACCAGGATGGCCGTGAAGTCGGCCGAGGATGGGAGTTGTTCTATAAAGTCCATGGAAATAGAGTTCCAGGGTTTTTCGGGGATGGGGAGTTGTTTGAGTAGGCCGTAGGGCTTATGTCTAGGGACTTTAGCCCGAGAGCACGTAGTGCAGGACTTAACATAATCCTTGACATAGGCACGTACTCCCGGCCAAGTATACTCCCGACGGATTAGCTCTAGGGTCCGGTTCTGACCGAAGTGACCGGATAGGGGGTGGTCATGGGTATTCCGTAGGACCCGTAAACGGAGGTCGTTGGATTCGGGAACAAATATGCGGTTATCGCAACAGAGGAACCCATTGTCGTCCACTGTCCATCTCGGATCCGAAGGGTTCGGGAGATGAGTAGAGGCGATAGGGTCGTCCGGAAGGGCGGATAGGATATCCGTATGGAGTTGTTCAACATCCATTAATACTGATGCGCGTAGTACTGGGATTGCTAGGTCGGATGCTCGTAGGGACGAAGCGAGTTGCTCCGTGGCAAATACGGGCCGGAAGTTGTGAGGGTTAACTCGAGCGTAGTCCTTATCCCCCTCTTTGGGGTAGACGTCCCAACGACGAGTTAGGGAATCGGGCTTAGCACCGAGTTTTCCCGGCCGAAAACGAATGATGAGGTTGAATTGATGAAGGAATTCTGACCAGCGAGCTTGCCGGCGAGAAAGGAGTTTGGTTGTAGCGAAGTATTCAAGGTTTTTGTGGTCCGTGACAACATCAACTGGCTCGGCCGAGCCTTCAAGATAATGGCGCCAGGACCGGAATGCTTCGTAGATGGCGAGGAGTTCTTTGTCATGGGTATCATAATTGAGCTCGGGAGCTGTTAATGTCCTGGAATAGAATGCAACCGGACGAAGTTCTGTGTCCGGGCAAACGATAGAAAGGATTCCAGCGATGGCATAGTCCGAGGCATCTGTCTCCACAACAATTGGGACATCGGGCATCCAGTGCGTGAGCACCGGGGCCGACGTAAAGGCGGTTTTGAGGGTGGTGAAGGCCGTCCGGCATTTATCAGAGAAATCCCATGGGGCATCTTTCCGAGTCAGCCGGGTGAGAGGTACAACAATGTCCGAGTAATTAAAGATAAACCGTCGGTAGAAATTGGCAAACCCGAGGAAGGACTGAATGTCCTTCACCTTCCGGGGCTCGGGCCAGTCGATGATGGATTGGATCTTCTCGGATGACATGGTCAGGCCGGTAGGGGAAAGTAGGTAGCCGAGGTATTCAACCGAGTCGGAGTGGAATTCGCATTTCTCCGGTTTTGCATATAGGCGATGCTTACGGAGCCGACGAAGGACTTCAAGGACATGTTGTTTGTGGGATGCGAGGTCGTGAGAATAGATAAGGATGTCGTCAAGATATACGATGACATATACATCCAGTAGGTCGGCAAAGATAGTGTTGACAAAACGTTGGAAAGCCGCCGGGGCATTAGTGAGTCCCTCGGGCATAACCAACCACTCGTAGGACCCGTAACGGGTCCGGAACGCGGTTTTCCACTCATCACCTTCCGCCATGCGGACAAGGTGATAAGCCGAGCGCAAGTCGATTTTGGTGTAGACCTTTTGCACGGCTCGGAGAGTCTAGGAGGTCGGCTATGAGGGGAAGTGGGTAGCGGTCTTTCTTCGTGATTTTGTTGAGGCCTCGGAAATCCACACAGAGCCGAAGTGATCCGTCCTTCTTCTTGACAAAAAGGACCGGAGCTCCGTGCGGGGAGGAAGAGGAGCGGAGGAGACCAGTTGCAATGTTCTCATCTAGGAACTTGCGGAGAGCTACAAGCTCAACTGGGGAAAGGGAATATATAGTACCGATGGGCGGGGCAGAGCCGTCCTCTAAATCGATCTTCAGGTCGTAAGGCCGGTGAGGAGGAAGTTGGCTGGCTTTGCCTTTGTCGAATACATCCGTGTACTCATGATAATCCGAGGGGACCCCAGATAGGTCCGGGGGTTCGGACGAGAGTGAAGCGGACC